TTGACTTCCTTAATATATACATAAACGATTTCCCCCTTGAAATAAGTAAAATTTCGGAAGTTATTATGTTTGCAGATGACACAAGTATTCTTTGCACAGCTAAAGACTACTATAATTTAAAAACAAAATTGAATGTTGTTTTCAATCATATGTTTATGTGATTTCAAAATAATCAATTAGTGTTAAATGTGGATAAAACAAAAATGATAAAATTCACCCCAGCAGCAGCTATGAGCTACCCTCTATGTACATTGTTTTTTAACAAAAAACTGAAAGAAGTAGAAACGATAAAATTTCTCTGTTTGCAGCTGGACAATCATCTGACTTGTAAGGGACATATCGAAGTTTTGCTTCATAAGTTGAGCATATTTCGTTTTCTAATGCATAAATTATCCTATATATTAAATATAAATAGCCTTACAGCTGTATATTATGCATATTATCATTCATTGGTGAAATATGGAATAATATATTGGGGAAATACATCAGACAGTCATAAGGTCTTTGTTATACAAAAGAAAATAATAAGAATATTGATGGGAGTGGGCCCAACTCATACATGTAGAGATCTATTTAAAAAGCTTGACATACTACCAATCCCATGTGCATATTTGCTCTCATTGATGATATTTGTTGTTAATAATTTAGACACGTTTCAAACCAATAACTCTGTATATGTCATTGGTACCAGAAGGAATGACCACCTTCATATACCTTCAACACATTTATCATCCTATAGTATAGTATAGTATAGTATTTATTGCATTCAAGCAAATCCAATTACAGGCCAACACCACTGGACACAGAACAAGTCAAATATCTTCAACAAATGCTCCAACAATGGAACTAGTCAACATAAGATATACATCAACCTAAAATATACATAACACTATACCATGTTTAATTGTAAATAAAATAAGTTAAAATTGTGATAAAAACACATTACATAATAAATTCATTCAACTTAGTAGCTTATATATCTCAAACCATAAAAGATCACAACATCCATCAACTATAATGAGGTATGTTTGTTACATGGCATACCAGTGAAGTTGGAGATTATATCTTACATGTTCAATATCAAATAAAACCAGTCAAGGTATAAGCTTGCTATATACAATGCAGGTATCAGTGCAATATCCTTGAATGTACAACTGCACATCCAAACAATGCATGCAATATTGAATGAACATAGTAAATTACTACTCATTTATACAACCAAAATATTCATCCAAAGTATAAAAGGATTTTGAATGTAAAAAGGCGTTTAAGGCCACTCTAAATACCTTATTATCATGTACTACTTCCTTTATTTTTAATGGGAGACAATTAAAAAGTTTAATTCCATAGCAATAAGGACCCTTCTGATGAACTGTTAAATTTGTCTGAGGGCAATATAAATCTAAACCGCGCCTTGTATTGAGACCATGAATCTGTGTTGATGTATGGAATAGACCCTTATTATTTACAACAAATATCAATAAAGAAAATATATATTGGGACTGGAGTGGCAAAATCCCCCAATCCCTAAATGCTTGTCTACAGGAATCCCTTGCTCTTAGCCCACTCATAATTCTAATTATTCTTTTTTGAATTCTAAAAATTTGTACACTAAACGAGGTATTGCCCCAGAAGATAATTCCATAGGTTAAAAGTGAATGAAAATAACAATAGTAAATCATTTTTAATGTTTCGGTAGGCATGATGGGTTTAATAACCCTCATTGAATAACACGCCTTACACAACTTAGGTATGAGTTGGGATATATGGGCCTTCCAAGTACACGTGCTTTCAACAATTATACCCAAGAACTTCACCTCGGTACTGTTTGGGATCACATTATTGCAATAATTAACCATAACTCCGGTATTAGGACAAGACTTAGCCGCAAATTGTACATGTTTAGTTTTGCTGAAGTTTAGGGTTAGCAGGTTTGACTTGAACCACTCATTAAGGCAGTCAAAAGAGATATTCACATCCCTATTATATTGTAAGTTATTATTGCTACTAATCACCAAACTAGTGTCATCTGCGAATAAGACTGGTTTAACTGTGCTATTAAAAATTGTAGAAAGATCATTTATATAGAAAAGAAATAGAAGCGGACCAAGTATGGACCCTTGAGGGACTCCATGCCTGACAATATCCCAATCTGATCTAATAGTGTTGCTCATTTCAATATCTGTTATTAGTACTCTCTGATGTCGATCTGATAAGTATGATGCAATTAAATCATAAAATCTACCTTGTATCCCATAATATTGTAGTTTACTCAACAATATTTCGTGATTCACACTATCAAACGCCTTCTTCAAGTCACAAAAAACTCCACCTACAACTTTTTGTTTATTTAATGCTTCTAGTATTTCATTGAGTAACACGTAAGAGGCTTTAGCAGTTGAGGATTGACGTCTAAATCCAAATTGCTCATTGACTATTATATTATGATCATGGATATGCTGATTTAATCTAGACAAAACTATCTTCTCAAATATTTTTGAGAAGGAGGTTAAGAGGGAGATGGGCCTATAATTAGATGGATCATTCTCGCAACCGCCCTTGTAACAAGGCTTAATTTCAGCATATTTTAGCCTATCCGGAAATACGCCAGCAGACAGCATTTTATTACTAATATATGTTAAAGGAGATATAATAAAGGGGCTACTAATTTTTAACACTTCAACTGATATTTCATCATAACCATGCGATCTCTTTGTTGTTAAAGATTTAATAATTTTAAATATCTCAGTTGAGGTTGCAGCTTGATATTTTATGCTGGGAAAGGGATGATCAAAAGCTTGCCGCAAGTAATCTAATGGCTTATTGTTTGTTTCAAGACTTTTGTTTATGTTATTCTCAGCCACAGATATGAAAAAACTATTTAAGAAATCTGCTATATATTGCCTATTTTTAGTAATCCGTCCATCAACTTTTAATTCCTGAACTGAATTCACTTTGGCAAACTTCCCAGTTACTGACTTTGTTATATTCCAGATTGTTCTTATTTTGTTACTGGATTTTGATATCTGTCTACTATAATGCTTCTTTTTTGCTTCTCTTATGACATTTTTTAATATCTTGCAATACTGTCTATAATACCTCTTAAAGGCCTCATCGTTACTACTCCTGTATATCAAATATAGATCTCTTTTATGCTTACAGGAATTACTAATACCAGGAGTAATCCACAAGTTACTATTTGTTCTGGTGCTCAACACTTTCAGGGGAAAACTAGAATAGAATATTCTAAGAAATGAACTGAGAAAAGAATTATACATTAAGTTTATATCGTTGGAGCCAAAAACTGAGTCCCAGGTTTCAAGACTCAGTTTATATTCAAAATCCTGTATCATAGCCAGTTCAATTTTCCTTATCATTTTTTTCCCCTTTACCCTGCCATTCTTAGTATGCGTTTTAACCTCTGATAAAATAATTAACTGAGCATCATGGTCGGAAAGCCCATTAAGCAAGGGATATATTACATAGTTACTCTGTAGAGACGCATCAATAAATATGTTGTCTATTGCAGTTGCAGAGCCATTTTGGGATCTTGTCGGAAAATTTACTGTACTTACTAAGTTATACGAAGCTAATAGCAAGTCCAATTTCTTCTTTTTATCATTATCAGATAAATAATTAATATTAATATCACCACAGAGAACCATTCTAATATTATTCCTAAAAAGCAAATTAAGTATAGTTTCCAATTTGTTTAAAAAGAGAGTAAAATTGCCACTAGGAGCTCTGTAAATTGATATAATATAGACACTATCAGTGGAATTAGTTAATAAAATTGCACAGGCTTCAAGATGTTGGTCGATAGAGATGTTGCTCAAATCAATATTGGAGAAATTCAAATCTCGGTGAGCATAAATACAGACACCTCCGTTTTTTTTTTAAGTGTCTACAATAACTAGCTCCCAGGGTATAATGTCCTAATTGGACTATCTCAAGTTCAAGCTGCTTAAAGTGATGCTCAGATAGGCACAGTATATGGGGATACTCAGGGTGTAAAAAGTTTAACAGCTCATCAATTTTACTTCATAATCCTTGTATATTTTGGTGATAGATTTGAAGGGCCACCTTGGCTGATTTTTCCGATGACTCTTTCCCTAGTTTATCATAAGATGACCATTCATAGGTTGACATAACCTTCAAATCTTTAGTTCCTTTGCTTAGTTTCATGGACTCACTGACTACCTTCAAGGTTGGCTTTATCACAAAAAATTCACAGAGGGGTGTATTATTCAGGCATATAGTACTCTGCCGTCAAATACCACAGTTTTGAAAAATGACAGAAAGCGATTTAGTTTTGTTTTACGAAATTATTTGCAAAGTAGCGCATTTTACTCAACTGATGAATTTATTGAGCATGTAAGTGGCTCAAAAGTTAAGAGTTAATAAATGGTTTGTGTGCCTGAATTATACATTGTTGAGACTTGCTTGTTGTAAGTGTAGTAGTATGTATGGTCTGTTTTTGTTATGAATTTTAATATTTTATAATGTATCTGTTTTAATGATATGACTTGCCAGTGTGTGTGGAATGGCAAGGTGTGAATTTGATAGTGGTTTTACCATGACCCATGTGTGTTGTCCTGACAACTTGAGCTATCTGTGAGGGGCCTGATTATATATTTTATTGGACAAAGGACGAATGATGTGTAGTCATCATGAATTTTTAATATGTGACCTGTTTTATATCCAGCCCTATGGGGAGTGGATTGGATCAATGAAGTAAACATAAATGTAAATTTAAATGAAAATATAAACAACAATTAAGCTGACAATAAACACAAGATAGACTGTTAATAGAAAATAGAACAAACTATGCTAACAATAAAGAACTGTCTATAATTATTTCAAATATATAAAATAGCTGTGTTGACAGAATCTCTCTTATGAGTATACTGTTGTGTTTTGTCAATGCATTGAAAGTTAATTTCAGCATTAAAATAGTGTACATCACAATAACATGTTGCTGTATTTTGTTGGTGTTTTAGTGCCACCTTGGAAATAATCAGCCACTGTACTGCTGCCACATATGTGACAGCCTGTTCCAGCGCACATCCAAGCTTACACACCACCTCCATGCTGAGCACGGCATCTGCCGGCCATCAGGGCATTGCAGATTTAGGTTGGTACAGCTATCAAGAGGTTAATTTTATTTGCGTTTTTATGTGCACTAGGATAACATTGCACTGTGACCATCCCATAGAAATGACTAAGCCTGTAATGCAAGTGTAGGCACTATATTCCTACAAGAATACAAAAATTGCAAGAAGAATCTGGGGCACTTTCTTGCTTTAAATGCTTTGCTCCTTCTTCTACATAATTTAAAATCTAATGGTGTATGATAGGGGGCATGGGATAGCATAGTGGGTTGAGGCACTATGCTACAAGCTGGAAGGTCATGGGTTCAAGTCCCAATGAGGTCATTACAATTTTTTCAATTGATCTAAACCTTCCAGCTGCACTATGGCCCTGGGATCGACTCAGCCTCTAACAGAAATGAGTACCTGGAATATTCTTTGGCGTAAAGGGCGGCCGGCACGTAGGGCTGACAGCCTTGTCATGATCTATGAGCTGACTGTCTAGAAAATGTGGGAACCTGAACATCTCACAAGCCTACAGGCCTCCACAGCCCCTTACAAGGATACCTTTACTCTTTTTTTTATGGTGTACAATTGGGCAATGTTTATGCTAATATATATTTTCAGTAGTTTAAAATTACCAGACATAACCCTAAGGATTCACATTGTTGCTGTTTATAACCTGCATCATGAAACCATTTCATTCAAACTATGTAAACGTGACTGCAACCTATATCACCACACCAAATGTCACATACCTAGCTACAGTGTTTCAGTAGTTAACTGCCTAAGGTAAAGTTTTCCCTGTGCATAATTATCACACCATGAAGGCATATGAAGTAGTGGAGGCACAGTTCATGCTTTCTTGGCACTAGGTGGAAATGGTCAGTTTCTTGAGAATCTGCTAGTCTTTCAAGAAATGGTACACATAAAATTGAAAACCCCTGAGCCATCTGATTTGAAACTTATGCCAGAAGGATAAGGTTTGGTTGGTCCTGTGTACACACTTATAGGCCTTAATGACAAAGAACAGGCAATAGAAGGCACATCAGCATCTTTGGATCCAGTTACATCCCACCAAATTACCATGAGTTGCACTTAATGGAACGAACCAAACTTAGTAATGTTCCTGCATATAGCTTAATCTGTCACAGTAAGAAGCTCAGCTTTTCAGATCAAGGCTGCTAAAATGTTTTTTGTGCTAAGGGCATGAAAATGAAATAAGGAACTCTTTGACATTTTATGGCATCCAAGGCCCTTTTCATAAGTGCTTTTAAGTAGGAGATTAAGGGAGATTTCAACACAAAGTGAAGGATGACAGTTATTTATAGACTTGTTCAAAGCGACCTCAAAGACATTTTTCTTACAAAATGGGAAGAATGCCCTTGGTACAAAGGAAATTTCTAAGAGTGTATCTCTTTTACCAAGTGCAATATCCACACATTATTTGTGAAATACTGATTGTAGGTTAGCAATTGCAAACATGAACATTTGTGTGAAATGTAATTATGAATCCAACTAATTTAACATAGACAGAATCTGTGTTGATTATTAAGTGCTTCACAATAAATCTGTAGGACTGGAAAAATATAGAACAGGAAAGAGGAATTCATGAGTTCTTTTCCTTGTTTATCAGATGTACTATTGATTCTAAAAGGAACTTCATTTGATACACAACTTCTGTCTGAAAGTATATTGATGATTAAATGATCAAAACTTGATACCACAATACTTCAGTGAAAATCACTGATAGTGACATAAAACATGATAGCTTAAGCTGTACAAGTACAATGTTTCCTTGGGGGAAAATTCATGGACCCATGTCCTGGGAATGTCTCAAAATGTTTCTGTGTTGTATCTTTCTGAATACCTTGAGGTTATGGAAATATCATTTTCAGACATCCCACCAACTTCAGCTCACCTCTGGCCTCCAGGATTTTTCCTGCTTACTGCCTCTGGCAGTTCTTATGGTTTCAGTTATAGTTGGCGCAAAGGGTGCTTCAGCTAGCTAGTAGACATGGGTTAGTATCTCAGGAGATTTATGGTTGCTTAAGTGACAGATGGGAAGAAAGCAGAGGGGGTTCAGTAGGGCTCATTCTTAATTAAACAATGCACCAAAATGTTTTCAAAGCTCAATTTGTATTTCTTTAACCACAATTTTTACACACTTCTCCGATAATCATATTACACTATCTCAATATGCCCCTTCACTCTGTCTTCTTTTTCAATTACAAGGCTCCAAAACTACTCAACCTAAAGAAAATGTTAAAATATGATTGTGTGGAAATCACACAATCACTTCTCATTCCCTGTTTCTCCCATCTATTCCCTGAGATATACCTCCATGAGGAGGAGGGTTCATCTCATGATCTCTGCCCCTACACCCTTCTAGAAAGCTGTTACTAGTTTCCCTATTGCTCCTGCAGCCCCCAGTTTGAGGTTAGGGGTCGAAATTCAGCACCTCCTTTCACATTCAGCAAATTCTGACACCCAGGTGCACTTAGCCATCTCAGAAGATTCACCCTCAGTTTACGTTTATGACCAGGCTTTACAATGGGCCCTTATTCAACAATAGTGTGACATGTTGAGCTATGGATGACGCCCCCCCCCCGCCAGCCAAAGTGAGCCGAGCGGAGCCGAAGTTAGCCGAGTCCCAGCATCCTGGTAGCTATGCAACGCGAGTCAACAGCAGTGACGTCACCAAGGGGTACCGCGGGTTGCTAGGCAGCGCGGGTAAACAGTGGTTGCGAGAGACGACAGTAGTAACAGCGGTACACAGCATTGCTAGCACGACGGCACCAGACAGCAGTGGTGCCTATTACGTGGCCGTTTTCGGTATTGTCCAAATGAGGCTACATAAGAAGCAGCGAAGGCTATTCACAGTTAGTCCTCGAGCTACCTCCGAGTTAGTGCCGAGTTAGCCAGCAACCAGTCAGTTGTATTCTGGCATTTGGAGTGTAGTATTTGTGATACTGCAGATAGCAGTAATTGTGAATCTCTAATTTGGGTGATTGTAAATGCGAATGTGAAATAAAATTCGCTATATCAAATACGGCGTGAAGTTATTTGTCGCGTTATACACCCAACATGATACAATATTAACTTGCCAGGAAGTACAGTTCCTCTCCAAGCATTCTTTACATATCATAAAAGTTCACATCCTTTTTAAAACAGAACCTTTATAAGACACACAGTATCGGGCTCAATACACTTTAAAAGTTCTAGCAATTTAGTTCCTAACTTACAGGTACACCCTGTATGGCAACTGTTACACATTTCTGGAATTTATGGCATTATGACATTTATAGACTTCTCAAACTTTGATAAGAAATTGTTTCTTTTTCACAGTAAAAATTATGTCCCTTTTATAGAATGACATGAAATATTTGGCCTGGATCAAAGAAAACCCATTAAAACTAAAAGAATAACAAAGGATAGAGGAAAATTGAATCTAAGTTAATAAAATAACGTTAATATTTGAATGGCTACAGAGGGTGCCCAAGCTTATCTACTTTCAGCCCAGTAGGAACTATATTTTTTCTGTCATCAACAACAGCTACTGCTTTCAGTCGAGGATTGTATGATTACATACTGTAACCCAATTCTCCTGTTACAGGTACAAGCAAGATAAGGATGGTTTCTTCCGGCTGCTGATAGTGCATCCTCAGGGTGTTCAAGGGACCCAGACGGTGGAGGAGTCAAAATCTGGAGCCATCCAGCCATTGTGTGACAGTATTTCCACAGTGTCAGATGATGACACAGGGGTAGGAGGGAGCAGGCTCCTCATCTCAGCAGTGGAACTGGATAGCAGTGGGAATACTGAGGCCAGTGAAAAGATGGAGACTGCTGAGTAACCTGCCTTGCCCACAAGAAGGGTCACTGTCCTTCAGGAAGGAAGTGAGATAAAATGAATTGTTTCCTGTTATTCTAGTCTGCATATTTCCTCGTTTCAATAAGCATTTAACATTTTGTACATGCTTGTGGATATTTTGCCTGTTTTACTAACAAATTACTCTTGATTCTCTCTAACAAATAATTACCTTTTGCTGCTTTGACCAAGAAGCAAACCACTTCTTCAGTAAACAATTACTGCCACTGCAAAAGAGTCTTAATTCAAATACTACCTAACATTTCTTAAGGCTGACATCTCCTGTCTCCTCCCTCTGCTAGTTCAGAGAAGAAAAATATATCCCTGTGATTTTCTTCAATGCCATGTCCTATTACCATTGTTTTCATTAGTCTCAGGCTGATCACATCATTCATCCAGAGTACAGGAGAAATTTCCACACCAACTTACAAAATGTTTAACCTGTAAAAAAACACATTATCATGATTTAGGGGAGGTGATGATAGATGGGGTGTTGAATGGTGACTCAATTTATTATCTACTTATACAGTCACAACTCATGGCTACAAGTAATTACAGCATCACTGCTAATCTCCACAATTCACAAATCACTGTTGCACACACCTTCTAAATATTTTTCCAGCCTGCTATGTCTTCATCAGCCATTCCCTAGCAACAGCTTCTAACAGTGGAGATTCTTCAGCTTCGCATACTCAGGTCCTATCTACATAGCCTCCATGCAGAACTCAACTGACAAATAGCTGGGTAGCCCAAACTGTCTTCATGAAAACCCTTCAGCATGGACCATGTAGAAAACATTCCTGTTTCTATTGTTGTAGTCCAACTGTTGCAGCTGCCTAGCAACAGGGACATGTTTACCAAGCCAATCCCATGGTCACTGTATAGCAATGGCTGTCCACATTATGTTATGTAGAATGCAGCCGCTGTGTTTTTAGTTTCTGTGTCTAGAGACAATTGGGGACACAATCAGTGAAAATGTTTGCATACCATTTCAGTTATTCCTATGCATTTTGCATACCTGTATGCTTGCACTGATCATGGCCAGGATATTAGTGCCATATGGTTGTGGGGAGCATTGCGTTTTGGAGGTGTATGCAGCCTTCATGTATAGAGTCTTACTGGTAACAGTGCCCACGTCCACAAGGCACAAGTGAAGTGACCAAGTGTGACAGTTCAAAAGGGAGCTGAGACCTACCTATTACAATATATGTTTTATCTGTAGATTAATATACATTGATAAAAGCAGGCGTGCCACAGGGTAGTGTCCTTGGACCAACTTTATACACTTTATTTACATCTGACCTACCCACTTCCTCAAATATAACTCTTGGAACATTTGCCGATGATATAGCTATACTGTCAGTTAACAGAGACCCAGAAAGAGCAGCAACACACCTTTAACATCACCTTAGATCATTACAAAATTGGTTCAAGAAGTGGCATATCAGAATAAATGAAAACAAGACTTGCTACATAACTTTCACCCTACGAAAAAGCTGACACCTGACATATACATCAGTGGTATCCAAATACCACGTAAAGCAGAAATAAAATACCTAGGTATGACTATAGACAAAAATTAACATGGAAGCAGCATGTAGACAAGAAATGAAAGCAAGCAGACTTAACCATTAAACAGTTAAACTGGCTAATAAGCAAAAAATCAAAGCTAACAGTTGAAAATTAAATTCTAATCTATAAGACTATAATCATACCTATTTGGACATATGGCCTGGAATTATGGGGCTGTGCCAGTAAATCTAATATAGCAATAATACAAAGAAGCCAATCTAAGATCCTACGAATGATAGTTGACGCACCATGGTATGTCTCCAACGTAACACTCCACATCGATCTCAGTATATCTTCCGTACAAGATGTCATCCAACACCAAAGCAACAGACATCAGAACAGAATCATAACTCATAAGAACCCACTCCTAAAGACGCTATCGACAAGAGAAGACACCAGATGACTCAAACAAAACTGGTCAATTGACCTGCTTTGAATTACTGAGGATCCGCCGCTGGATGACTCCTCATCAAGTCATCTAAACAGCCATAACATTAGCTTATAAAATGTATATTCTAATTGCTGATTAAACAAATAAATAAAAAAATTAATATACATATGGCATATTAAATTACTGGAATATGATATCTGAGTTGGTTGGTTTAATGAATTATATCTGCATTGCGTGGTAGCATGACAGAACTTAGCTGAAATATTTATGTTACATTTAGATGTGTATGGGTGTATGTAAAATGTAGTGTATGTCAATTGTCTGACTAAAAAGAATGAGTAAAATGGAATTAAATTTCAACATCACCAATACAAAAGCCCACTAATTGCCATGATACTGAATTAATTGCCTGGACCTCCCAAATGCCTAGCTTGATGTTACTCTCCCATCTTCTTTTATCCTTACCTAGTTGATGTTTTCAAAGTTTCCCAGCTAATGACAGTAACAAATAAAAATTTTGTTTATGAGGAAATTAAGAGCAGATAAAATTCCAGTAATGCTTGCTACCATTTGGTTCAGAACCTTTTGGGGGGGCATGTGGTAGCATGTTTGTTACAAGCTGGAAAGTCAAGGGTTTGATTCCTGATGAGGTCACTGGATTTTTAATTGATCTAATCCTTCCAGCTGCACTATGGCTCCGGGCTCAACTCAGCATCTAACAGAAATTAGTATCATAAATCTTCCTGGGGGTAAAGGGTCACTGGTGTGTAAGACTGACAACCTCACCGCCATCTGTGAGTTCACTCTCTATAAAATTGTGGAAACCTCAACATATCACAACCCTATCGCCCTCCATGGGCTGTTAGAGGAATAGCTTTATCTTTTTTTACATATTTTCTTTTTGGCTGCTGTCCAAAAACTTGTCAATTAAAATATACAAACCCATAATATTGCCTTTAGTTCTGTACGAGGGGTGTATGGGTGTGAATTTTTGTCTCTGGCGTTAAGGGAAGAAGTTCATATGCTGAGAGTGTTTCAGAACAGGGTGCCATGGAGAATATTTCGACCCAAGAGCAAAGAAATGATGGGAGGCTGTAGAAAATTGTATACTTATACTCTTTGCAAAGTATAATTATAATGGACAAGTGAAAGGGCGTGAAATAGGCAGGCATTTACCACATATGAGGGACAAAATGAATGCACACAGGATTTTTTATGGAAAGTCAGAAATAAAAAGACCACTAGAAAGAACTAGAAAAAAGTGAGAGATTATTAAAATTGATCTTAGAGAAATAGTATTGGGGGTATAGACTGTATGCATCTGGCTTAGGATGGGGAAGAGTTGAGGGCTCTTGTGAACATGCTGCTGAACTTTCAGGTTCCATATAATTTTGGAAATTCTTGAGTAGCTGAGCAGCTGGTGGCTTTCCATGAAGGAGTAGGCTACATGAAGTTAACTGGTTAGTTTGGATTCATGTGCTTTACCCCTTTGCCTTCCTAGCCATGTGTCTCACCCATCTATGTCTCCTAACAGGGCATGGCCTTCATAGACCAGAAAGTTGTTCCACATCACACAGTATCCTAAACTGGTTAATTAACTTCTTTCACCCTTAGGTACAGGAATGTTCCTGAACACTTAATTTTTCAAACAACTGTGAACAAGTATTTATCTAGAGGCCTCAGTATCAGACACAGTAACTTATCCATTTCCATGAACATCAAACCTTGGGACAATCCTGTTCCAGCCACTGACAAGCGCATGAGCTTGGTTTTGGAGTGGCACAGTATTTCAGTTCTGTGCAGTTTCTGTAACATATGGATTTCCCCCCCTCTTGGCACTACAGCACCTGTGGGCCTAGGCCTACCTCCATGAACTTCTCTGTTCACTTCGGTTTTTCTAGATCTTACACATTTGGTAGGACTCCTTGGGCCGGTGATCAGCTCATCGCAAGGCCTCTACCTGTACACAAACACAGATAAATGCACACAAACATCCACGCTCTGAGTGGGATTCGAACCCACGACCCTGGCTTCCGAGTGAGTGAAGACAGTGCATGCCTTAAACTGCTCAGCTACCGTGACCGGCATAACATATGTATGACAATAGATATTTGAAGAACAAACTAGATGCTCTAGGAAGAATGAATCACCTACTTTCCTCTCATTACAATTGGAGTATCTGATATGACAGGTAGAAACACACAACTGTATATATGTGTACTGAAATAAAATAATTGAAAGGTTGCAGTGCTCATATTCCTGTTTGGACAAATTTAGAAGTTTACCATTCAAATGGCTTCAGGTAGCGTCATATATATATAGATATAGATATATATATGTATACCAAGTTTCATGACAATGTATGATGATGTTAAGCTAACTGCTACAGAATTTGAGGCGCTACACTAATCCTTCCAGCCACACTATGGCCCTGGGGTCGATTCAGCCCCTAATGGAAATGAGTACCGGGAATCTTCATGTGGGGTAAAGGGTGGCTGGTGCTTAAGGCTGAAACCTCACCGCCATCTGTGAGCTGATTTTGTAGAAAATGTGAGAGACTAAACATCTCATAACCCTATGGGCCTTCATGGCCTGTTACTGGGATAGCTTTACACTTTCTTCTATACCCTGAAGAATTCATGGCACCCACACACCCACCAGACTGCAGCACTGTCTGCTTGTGTGTTTCTTGTTTATTTAACAATGCTTTCAGTGGCTGAGCCTCTGTGGTATTAGGTGACTGGATAACAGTGAATAGTGATTTGAAAGGAAGGAGTCTTGACTTAATTTAAACTGCTATCCTGACATTTACATGGAGTGCTGAGGAGTCAGGAAAGACTTTGGGATAGCTTGCATCCTGCTGAGATTTGAACTGGACAGGTCCTGAATGCAAATTAGAAAGCATTAGTGCTTTAGACAACTTGCTAACATGATGTTGTAACCCAAACGGCGACTTTGTGAATCATTACCGCTGCTAACCTCAATTCTTGCAAGAATTTTTGGTTATGCTGTAGTTTGTTCTTGATATCTGAAAGTCAGAAGTAAAATAGTGTCACAATTACTTTCTTCAGAATAGCAATCACATTCTAAGGCAGTGAGAGAAGTTTAGAGAATCATGTTAAAAGTAAGTAATCTGTTCATCATTTAGGGTCCTAAATTATGAGTACGAGTAACTAGACATTAGTCATACATAAGTTAGCTAAAACTGAGAGCTGAGGTAGCTCAGTCAGTATAGTGATTAGGGTACAGAAGTTCAGACATCAGGGGAGGAAAGATTTCTTTCCTCACCACTTCATCCAGATTGGCTGTGAACCCCACCACCTTCATATCCAGTTGGTGCTGGGAATCAAGGTGACCACGACCACCAAACTCCATCTACTCATTAGGTTAAGAGTATGTGACATTATACCACCACTCCCCTATATAGCTTTAAAGTTGTTGTATGTAATTAAGCAGAGGGGCAATGTTAGCTCAAGGTAACTGCACTTATTGAAGTACTTTTCTAGACATGCCTGATAGTGGAATATTTTGTTCAGATTCAGTGCAGACCGCCAACTTCAACATCTGGTGTTGTGTGTATGTGTGATTTTGAAGCAGAACAGATGATCAGAATTCTTCTGTGTTTACATAAGATTCATGCAGTGTGTGTTGAT